TTACTTCATTTTTCAATCTCTTTTCTTTATTTGTTTTATATTGTAATTTCTTTTCTTTATTTGCTTTATATTTTAATCTCTTTTCTTTATTTTTTCTCTTTATTATCCTTATTTTTTTATGATCTATTTTCTTGATTTATCATTGATGTTATGGTTTATCACCCCACCACCACCCATCTATATGATCGCAAATTGATGATTGACTTTCTTTGTTGCAGGAGATGTCAGCACCACGTTGCTGAAAGGGTCCAGCTTCAATGTGTCGTGGCACCTTGCCTATCCGCATCAGGTTAGTCGCTTTAGTTTCGGTGTCTGTCGGAGTTTCATTTTATTTCTTTATTTATTTTTTGTCATCATCATTGTCGTCGTCATCGTCATCATTATTTTTATCATCATCGTCATCAGAATCATTATTAATCATCATCATCATCAATAATCATAAACCATTATCGATCATCATCATTATTGCTATTGTCAATAATCATCATCATCAATCAGCATTATCATCGTCATCTTCAGCATCAGTCCTCATGACCATCGCAGCGTATTGCCATGATTGTTTTTACCAATTCAGTAGTAATAAATGTGATGCAAACTGACGTCAGGAACTGAGGCTGACTTCCTTTGACAGGGCGGCTTCCGGCTGGAGCTGATGGACGCGCAGGAGCGGCCGCTGGCGGACCTCACGCCCGTCACAGCCGACTCCAAGTTCCTGGCCGATGACACGACGTAAGAATTTCCTCTTTTGTTTTCGTTTATTTATTATTTATTCATTTTAAAGTGGAAGGAATCGTTTGTAGACCAACAAGGCATGTTATCGATTTATTATGAACTTGTATGTATTCGTTAGCTTATCCTCGATGTTCCCCTTGCAGAGCCCAGTCCTTTAAAATCAGCCTGCCCAAGGACCTCGAATGCAAGGGCTGCACCGTGCGGCTGATCCGCGAGGCCAGGGAGTGGGGAAAGTCCTACAAGTTTTGGTCCTGCGCCGATGTGGACATTGTGCCCCGTAAGTCCGCCGTCTTTGCCTTGTTGATTGGTATTTCTGGCTTTATATTCGGTGCATAAGACGGGTCTCGAAGTAGGTCAGTCTGAAATAAGTTTTAGCTCCTTTTCATTGGAAAGAAATCCGATTTGAAGGTAATTATTCAAGAAATAAAGGAATGAACACTTGATTACATTTTTACAGATATAACCATTTGAGTAAATATGAATAGCATGTTTCACAAACAAAAGTGTGCGCATATGATATAGATATGCACGGTATTTGTATACGGTTGCACCAAGAAAGTATGAATAAATCATGATATGATATTTTGTTTTTCGTTCTTTTTTTTCCTTTATTGTACATCTAGTTTACTCGTGTATTCTATAAAGCAGTTTACACTCAGGTATATAATCCCCCCCCTTTCCAATGTCAACAAAAAAAAAAAATACATATTTTCCTTCCCATCCCCTCCACAGGCAATGACTACCGCGAGACCTGCAGCGACCGCGGGAAGTACATCGTGTCTCGCTGCCACTGCAACAAGCGCTTCTTCGGCAATCGGTGCCAGTTCGAGAACGAGTGCGAGGATGACGACGACTGCGGTTTCTACGGCAAGTGCATTGACATCGGCGCCACTTCGTTCCCCAAGAAGCAGTGCTATTGTCAGCAGGGGCGATTCGGACCCAAGTGCTCGAAAGGTGAGCTCTCATTCCGCTTTTTATGGTGAGATCATCGAGGACTCTTCTTCATTTAAATATTTGGGATTTTTTTCTTTCTTTTAGTTTGATTATTGATTTTAAAGCTATATTTTTTCACTTGGCGCTTTGTGTATTTTACAGCTTCTCTGGTCACCAACCGAGGTCAGATCAACTTGGGAACCTACAACAAAAGGGAACTTAGTGATAAGTTGTCCCTGCACTGGAAGGTCCTGCGAACAGAGCAAGAAATTGAGATCGTGCTCGTCAACAAAGGCACCTCGTACGTCGCTGTGGGCTGGAGGCCACAGGATGCGACCAAGACGTGCAAGCAGTTCCCTTACATCCACGGGACTGTGAAGGAAGGTGCCTCAGGAGCCCAGGCAGAACCAGAGCCAGAGGCGGAAGCTGAACCAGAGGCAGAGGCTGAACCCGAGGCGGAGGCTGAACCCGAGGCCGAGGCTGAGCCGGAGGCCGAGGCTGAACCCGAGGCCGAGGCTGAGCCCGAGGCCGAAGCTGAACCCGAGGCCGAGGCTGAACCTGAGGCCGAGGCTGAACCTGAGGCCGAAGCTGAACCTGAGGCCGAAGCAGAACCAGAGGCGGAAGCTGAACCAGAACCTAAAACAAAGTCTAAATCTGAGGCTCAGGCAGAACCTGAGCCAGAGGCTGAGGCAGAACCAGAAGCTGAAGCTGAGCCAGAGGCTCATGCAGAACCAGAAGCTGAAGCTGAGCCAGAGGCTCATGCAGAACCAGAAGCTGAAGCTGAGCCAGAGGCTCATGCAGAACCAGAGGCGGAGGCTGAACCAGAGGCTGAACCAGAAGCTGAGGCTGAGCCAGAGCCAGACACGAAAGAAGCAGAGACCACGAAGAAGCCCACACTCAGTTTGGCTGGTATGTTGACATTCCTTAGTACTTCTTTTTGGTCTCAGGTTAGATTTTTAATGAAGGTCAAGGTTCTCCGAAGTTGCACCCCACAGACATTTATGCAACCATATAGCAAATATTGCACCGATTTTAACTTCTAGAGGGTTTTTAGAATGGGATTTGGGAAAACTTTTTGCAAATGACCACTTCTGGTGATGGGTAGGTCACAAAGACTGACCTCTTTGTTAGTGCTTGACATTTTTCCCTGAAGATTTTAACTATACTTCACATATTTTTAAGTCTTTCATTTATTTTTGATAGCAGGTATCAGGTGATGGTTCATTGTTCTAAGTAAGCACAAACTTTTGTAGGTAAATGACACACTGAGGTGTTAATCGTCCTGGTTTCATACTCTGTGATCTCTAAATGTTAATACACTTTAAACAGCCACTTCACCATCTGTCATGGTGGAAGCAGCAACGTCTCCTGTTGCTGTGGCAAATGAATCTGTTGAAGGTGCAGAAAACACAAGCCTCCCAGCCATTACAACTCGTGACTCGTTGCCTGTAATGTCAACCTCATCTGTGTTTTCGAATTCTTATGTGTTCACTACCACCCACAGTATCACCTCTACCTCTAGTCCATTCCCCAATGCAGTTCCCACTGTTGGTCCTTCCCAAGCAGTAGACACAGTCACTGTCAGTACACCAGTCTCTCAACCATCTGTGGTCACAGTCACTCCCTCACAGTCACTAACCGAACAGCCTGTTGTCACCACTCCCCCAACTTCATCACTGCTTCCTTCAACCACAACCTCTTCGTCCCTGACAGAATCGACTAGAATTGTACCCCAGTTGAGGATGGGTTCAGGAACCAGGTCCTCCTCAGACAACACAGCTAAGACCACGACTCAGTCTGATGTCAGTGTCACAAATACAACGAGTCCTGACATGGTTTCAGTGAATATGACTTCTTCCACAGGTGTTCTTTCTTTGACAACTCCCTTTGCAAAACGGTCAGATACGACTTCGGTTACTGTGCCAAATAAACCTTCATTAAATACAACGTCGAATCTGACTGTCCCTTCATCTTTGCCTGAAAATGCTGAAACATCTAATGAGTTTTCTATGACAACTGCATTACCTAACCAGCCACCTTTAGTAACCACTGTGAGACTTAATCAACTTTTGCCAACCAATACAGGACGTAACCAACCGCCTTTGATAACTACAATGCCTAACCTGTTACCCATGACTACATCTCTAACCACAGCTGCAGTGCCTAACCAGCCAACTCTGACAACAGCTGTAGTTACTAACCAATCATCCGTAACAAATGCATTACCTGAGGAGGTATCTTTGACAGCAAACGAAATATCTAATCGACCAGCTGTGACTGATCGACCATCTATGGTTACTACAGAGTCTAACCAACTACCAGTGACTACTGCATTGACAGGGCAACCATCAATGACTATTACAGTGTCCAATCAGCCATCTGCAACTACTATAGTGCATGACCAGATACCTGTAGATACAGCAGTGTCTAACCAGTCATCTGTGACTACTGCAATGCCTGACCAGCCAGCTGAGAATACTTCACTGTCTGACCAGCCACCTGTAGCTGTGCTGACTGACTACAGTGTCTGACCAGTCTTCTGTGACTACTGCAATGCCTGACCAGCCAGCTGTGACTACTTCACTGTCTGACCAGCCACCTGTAGCTACTACAGTGTCTGACCAGTCTTCTGTGACTACTGCAATACCTGACCAGCCAGCTGTGACTACTTCACTGTCTGACCAGTTGCCTCATACGACTGTAGTGCCTAACCAACCATCTTTGACTTCAAATCCTCTTGTGACTGAGCAGTTACCTTTAACAGTTACATTGTCTACCCAAACACCTCTGACTACAAACCCCACATTGTCTAACCAACCATCATTTACTCTCACCCCCACTGTATCTGTCCAGTCATCTTCCACCATGTCTAACCAACCACCTGTATCTGCAGCTTCCAACATGTCGGATGAGCCATCTGTGAGCACAAGCACAGATCCGCCATCTCTCGAGCCAGACATGGCTGCATCTCCTCCTCCTCCTCCTCTTTCACCCCAGACCTTAACCACTGCCACTTCCTCACCGCTGCTCTCTGTCAAACCCACTCCCAAGGCTGTTCCCCAACCGTCTGTGACCCCAGACTCGTCTCTGTCCCTTTCCCAACCACCTTTGGAGCGAGAGACTTCCACTCTCCCCCCACGATCGTCGGTGACCTCGGAGTCATCCACACTCGTCCCACAACCCTCCATCCCTACTACAGCAGCACCACTACCCTCCAATAGGCCTGTTGCAACTGACAGGCCTGTAGTTACTGAGACCCCAGTGACTGGCACAGGTACTAGCACTGCCCAGACCATGTTAGATACAACCAGGGCCATTCTTGATGTTCGTGTCACTTCTGCAAATGACACTCTAGCTAGCACTACATCTGTGTCAACTGCCACAACCACAGCTAAGCAGACCACCACCACCACCCCACTGACGGCGAGGACGACGACTACCAAAGGAACCACCACCACCACTGCCCAGCCCACTACGACGACCACTGCGCCGAGAACCACTACCACCACTCCTACGACCACTGTGCCAACAACAACCACAACTGCAACAACCACCACGCTGCTGACTACTACTACTATGCCACCGACAACAACCACCACAACTACCAGTACTACAACCCCTACAACTACAACGACTCCTACGACCACCACCACGACCCCAACGACCACTACCACGACCAGGAGGCCAACCAGAAGGCGGAGAATTAGTGAGTTAACGCACCCAGTCGTGCTTGTGGAAATCTGCATCCCAAGTTGCTCTTTGCTGCACAGAGTTTTGTATTTGATAAGCTAGTTTTATTTGTTTGTGATAATGCACCTTTTTTGCTTTTTATTTTTGTTTTATTTATTGGAGTCTGATGATATTTGTGTACACCTTTTGATTGTTTGCATTTGTCTGCATCTTTTGCGTCATGTAATGTTGTATAACTTTTTATTTTAGTCTTCTTTTTATGTTATATGTTAATTATGTTATATGATTTTCTGAGAACACAGAGTTGTGGAAATTGTGCAATATATGAAGACTTTTTTGACAGCGACGTGCTTTTAGACCCCACTAGTACCAAATTGACAGGGAAATGCCTAGAGGAACAAGAAAAGTTAGAGACAGAAATAAAAAATACTGGTAGAGCCAGAGATAGAAAAGTAGAGAGAAAGGGAAAGAGTGTGATGTATTTTTTTCAACTATAGGTTGGTGGTAAGATAAAGTTGATGCTAGTCTTGGATTAATGTATTTGGCAATAATAGATGTAAAGATAAAGTCATATGATTGTGAATTTTGAAAAGTCCTGGGGATATTTGATAAGGTATTTAATCTCGTCTTGAGGAATGGAATGATATATTTTTTTAAATAGCTGGGGTGTGAATGACAAGATAAAAGAAAGAAATGTGATCAGTTGTGTGTGATCAAGTATTTCTAGCACTGAAAAGGACATACATTATGATGTGAAATCAATGTTAGGGATCATAAAAGTTTTTCAGGGTATAAGTATGTATAAGTTGTGCCCAATTATATAGTGGATTAATATTATTCATGCCAGGAATTTTACATAGAAAAAAAATGTTTTATTGTATATGAACGGATTTCTGCGGTTGTCAGAATTTTGTTCTTAAGAAATAAGAGTATCGAAAGAAATCTGTAAATTGAGTAATCTCTATTTTGTTTCCATTTTGATAACTGATTCTGAGAGTTGTATATGTTGGCTCCTGTTTTATTTGTTTTATTTCTTAACATTTTGATTGGTGTTCTTGCTTATGTTGATCCGTTTGAGTTCAGTCCCACGCTAATGAAGCACATATCTTTCTTTCAGACAATAATTAGGTTTCCAAAAAAATGTAAGAAGTCTTCTGATTGATAATCGCTTCATTCTGACATTTGTAACAGCCTGAGAAGTCTGTCGGATTTTGTAATTCCCAATTGTTTTCGGAAACACAAAATCGGTCCTTTATTTTGAAGCAGTGAATAATAACTTTAATTTTAATACTACCCTGACTACTTTTTTTTACTAATATACTCAGTTATGTTGAGCCTTATTCTGGCAGGTTCTTATTAACATAGTGTAATGTGTTAATTATTGACAGTGATTAATCTTCACGAACATCTCCCAATTTTCTCTTGTCAAGAAAGTAATCACCTTATGACTTATATTTAGTTGCAATCGGCATGTCGCATGCAATAGATATTAATTGCCAGATTTGGAAAATTAGATCTTCCATGAATTGCTCTTTGCTGAAGTCGCATTTTGCATGTGTTTACAGTTATCATTTTTGCAACTACTTTTTGTCCTCTAGAGAGTGAAATGGTTGTTTGAGTAGCTCTATTAATATTCCATTTTTTCCATTCCATATTCCTCTTCCTCTCTTCCTTCAGGTGATGTTATCCAAGGTAATTCTCGCGATGCATGTTTCAGTTTCATTAGTAGTTGTAGAATTGCTTTTCTGAGGCAATTGGAATGTGTAGAAGGGGAGAATTTGTCTAGATTTTTTGTTCTTGTCCAATTCTAGTATTGTAAGCATTAAAATGCCTTGCCTTGTTGCTATTAAGGCAAGTGTTACAGGATGATTCTATTGTAACTTAGCTGTAAACCAGAGTCCAGCTAGAGAAGAATTTTACTAGGGAATCCAAGCACACCATTGCCTCAGCCCCAGATAGAAGGGATAACAGCACTAACCCGGGGAACAGCCAGATCCTGTTCTTCACGCCCGCCCACTTCACTCTTGATTGGCTGAACATAAGCATTGTGCAAATAGGAATTTGTTTAAGATGTGTATGCGGCAAAATTGGCTGTAGAGCTTGCAAGTAATAGAGATATGCATATCCTATTTCATCGATATTGATGTGCATATGTGAGTGTATACATGATTTTTATCGGTCTCACCGTTTGAAGATCTGGCTGTGCCCCGTCCTGGTTTTTAAATGAACTGGTGATATTAACTCTTAATATTCATTTTTTTTTTTTTACCAGGTTCAGAGGTTTTTGGTTAAGTATAGTACTTAGTATTGGAATACGATGTTTTAAAATTAGAAAATACGAAGTTACATTGTAGATAATACTTTTTTTTATAAATATAGGGGAAGGATTCCTATCAGACTCAAACGGACTGGGAGAGTAGCTTATAATTTCTTCAATTGTGTCTATCCGCAGATCGACTTTCTGGTCTTCTTGTGCCCAGTGGAAGAAACAAGCGCAGTGCCCCTTCGAGGTGAGTTTTCGGCGTCATGATGGTCTTGATGGCGACGCTATTATTTCCTTTGGGTATATTCTTTTTTTTAGTTTTTGAAAGTCCTGCTGCTATTTGAGAAGGAGTGAGTAAGCGATAGCATAAAGGAAGAAAATTTTTCATCGAAGGAAATCTCATAAACTGAAATCAGATGACAGGCGTTTTTACTTATTTATTTATTTGTTTGTTTATTGCATCGGCTTTTACTTAATCTCAGGAGGGCACGTTTTGCGGTTCCACTCCTCAAGGGTGTCGAGAAACCACAGAAACTGACAGGAGAAACTGAAGCCATGGTTGGTCACGAATCAGAGCCCGAAGCAGAAGCCGAGGCCAAAGCCGAACCGGAAGCCGAAGCCGAGGCTGAAGCAGAAGCAGAGCCAGGTAAGCTTCATGGCCAAGGTTGTGTAGATGCTTTGTGGATTTTAGATACTTGTGACTTGTCACCTGTCTCGTGTCGTCACTTAAGTTTTATAGTGACGTACTTTGCCTTTATAACAAAATTCTCATATTCAACAATTTATTTCCTCGATGCATCCCTACTGACGCGCGCGCGCACCCTTGCCTTCCTCTGCCTTCCAGAGCCGATCAGCGGCGCGTCGCCCTTCGTGCCACGCGGCGACTTCCACGCCATGGACTGCACGGACATCGTGATCGGCAGCGCCCGGGGGAACCTCTACAGGATCGGCGACTTCTACACGCGCGACCGCTCCACGCCCCGCTCCGACGAGTTCTGGGGCGGAGACGACTCCCTGACGGCGGCGCTGGGCTGGGAGGAGGACGGGCAGACCACCATCGTCTTCAGGAGGAAGCTCAACGGTGAGGAGAGGAGTTCGGGGCTGGGGGCGGAGGGGGGGGCGTGGGAGGGTGGATTTATTGGGTAGAAGGTTTATTTTGGAAGTTGGGAGGTGTGGCATTGGGTCTAGGGGCGTGGATGAATGAAATTGGATTTGGGGGCGGAGATTAGTAGTAAATAGTAAAAAAGAATGCTTGAATGATATTTATAACTCGAGAAAAGAGAAGAGGATGCCCTTAGAGTATGAGAGTGTCTGAAGTTCGATTCGTATGCGTTTGTGTCAGCTGAGGATCCAATAACCGATGCTGAAGAAGGCTGTTTTAACTGAGCGAATGCCCTTCGAAGAATCCTCAATTGAAAATAATGCAACTGAAAAAATACCAGCGATCTAATCACCCTTCCAACGCTTCGCCCGCAGCCTCCCACCCGACCGACTACCCGATCACCAACTCCCTGATGCACGTGATCTGGGCGCGCGGGCAGGAGCAGGGCATGTACGTGCACTCGCCCCGCTCCGGCCTGGAGGCGGGCGTCGCCGGCGTGCCCGACTTCTACCGGCCCGACGAGCTCAAGTACCACGGCAAGGCGGGCCAGAGGGGCGTGCTGGCGCTCAACTTCTTGGGTGAGTTTGTCCTGCATGCGAAGTGCTTCCCTTTGATTTATACATACACACACAGATATATATAATATATATATATATATATATATATATATATATATATATATATATATATATATATATATATATATATACATACATACATACATATACATACATACATACATACATATATACATATATACATATGCATAATATATATATATATATGATAAATTGTTTTCTATAAGTGTGTATGTACATGAATATATACATATAGATATAGGTGTGTATACTGTATATTGCAACACGCTCATTCTCTCAAAATTAAGTTTTCCTAGATTGGTAACTGAAGTCTTCAAGGTCCAGGAGATCCTAATGCTTCCGACATTCCTTGCAGAGAGGAAGAGCGACCCGACGGCGGCGGCGGAGGAGATCAACTGGTGCGGCAACCACTGGCGCTACCCGCAGGGCTGCACGGCCGGCCAGGACTGCGAGTACTACGCCCGCTGGGAGTACCTCGAGAATACCGATGACATCAAGTTCACCATCCAGACCTCGTACACCGACCGCTGGACGGGCATTGGCTTTTCCGATAACACAAGAATGGTTTGTTTTTACTTCATTTTTAGTTTTATTTCCGTTCGTTCGAGAAAAGTTATCTGTTTGTAGATTTTTTTGTGGTGATAGTTCGATAAAGTATGGAACCTTTCCTCGCCACGCTTTAGTATTGTGCTCAGTTGATATTATCTTTATCAAAATTATGAATGATGTAAGAACCCCAATACATGTGGCAAAATATCCATCCACATCATAATCTGGAAAAAAGGAACACAGAGCATCCCAAATATATCCCATGAATAAATACGTAAAAGGAAAATCCCTCAAATAATCCTCACTCCACGTTTGCTTCCTCAGCCCCTGACCGACGCAGTTATCGGCTGGGTGGAGAACAGCGGCCGTTACTTCATGTTCGACGCTTGGGTACGTGGGTATTCGGTGCCCATCGTCGACCCATCACAGGGCATCAAGAACGAGACTGGTAAGATCGAGGACGGAATCACGACCATCAGCTTTTTGAAGAAGAGGACGTCCAAGGACAGTGAATATGTAGGTTTTGTCGCTGTTTCTTGTAGTGAGGGTTGGGGAAGGGGTTGATATTGCATAGTGGGTGTATTTAATATGGATGTGAGTGTTGGGGGAAGTGTATTGGTTATGGATGTGTGGACGTGCAAGGAAAATTAGCTTAATTTTAATCAGGAATGTAATCTGTTCCCACCCCTCTTTCTTTCAGGACTTGAACTTCACGGACGAGAAGTGTCTGTACCTGGTGTTCCCCATCAAGGGCGGAATCATCAACTACGTGTCCAAGAAGATCCGCAAGCACGAACGCACTCCTGCATTCTCCACAGAGCGCATCTGCATCAGGCCCTGCAGCAAGTTTGGTGTGTGCTGATGTTTAAAAAGCTCCACAAAATCATTTTGGGCAAAGATTCCCATAAGCTGAAAGTTATAATCAAATTAATTATTTATATAGCAATGTGGGTTTTTTCGTTTAAGGATATGTGGAGATATTAATATATTTCATTCTTTTTTTTCATAAGAGGCAGCTTTGTTACAACTTGTCCATCTAATGAAAATCTTGTTTGTTCCCTCCCAGGTGGTGCTGATGGAAAGCCCTTCGTGTACACCACCACGCCTCGTCCGCCTCTGTTGCACTACTCTGTGGAACTGAAGCTGACCAATGTGGGTGAGAATTTTGTCGTGCCAGAGCCAGGAACTGTTTCATGGACAAGCATCACAGACAGAATCAAGAGGTCTGTTGAGGGAGCCCTTCAGGATATCCCAGGATACCAGGCAGCAGAAGTGACAAAACTGTGAGTAGTTATATAATTTTTATCTTTTTTATAAGTATTCATTTGTTTCATTGTAAACTTTTCCTTTGATTTGGACAGCTCTTTGTTGAAAAGGAGTGCCCAGATCACATATTTTGTAAACCTGTATTTGTCTGGATGATTCATATTTTATAATCTTCCATGATAATAGTTGAGCATTTTATAAGTTATTCTCAGTAGCATGTACAGACTATTAATCAGTGGCAATTGATAATTTCCCCAGAGTGGATGAAGGGGATGGCAAAGTCCTAACAGAACTTCAAGTTGTATTGGACAAGAACTCCCATGAAGAGGAACTTGAGGAGAGTGCCCACCCAGAAGGTAAGGCATGAGTGAAAAGATGCTGATAGTGTCATTTTTAAGAATTGAGGTTGTCTCATCTTTTAAATTTTGGCCTGTCATATGTATGTATGTATATATACTTTTTTTTTTTTTTTGCGTGTGTGTGTTAAAGTCAAGGCTGTTGTATCATTTTTAAATTTGGGATCATGATATTATCAAAAGAGTTGGTTCACTTTTTAAAGTTAGGGTTGTTATGTTGTGTTTTAAAGTTCGGGTTAGTATTTGTAAAAGTTGGGAAGAGTTATGTTTTACAGTTCAGGATTTTATGTCATACCTTATAGTTGGGGTTGTGTATATAAGGAACTTTTTTCAAGCTACGATTATGTATACTTCATAGAGCTTTCTATCATAGCTTTACTTTGTTCACTTATTTTAGCCATTATTCTTGTCAAGATAATGTAACTTGAAAAACACATTATTTTCTTTGGCATGACTTAAGTCTCATTATTTCTTAACCTGAAGGTTAAGAGGTTATGGAGGTTATTAAATCCTGTGTTTCAGGTGAGACAGAAGAAGAGCCCATGGTGAAGACCGTCTTGCAGAAATCTGTCAACACTGGAAGTATAGCTGGCCTCAGCGTCGATCCCAGCTTCCTCCAAGTCAATCAGCTGCGAGGTATGGCACCCCAGCCAGACTTTTCATTTCAGAATCCATCTGATAGCTCAGGCCTCCCTGTTCCCTCCTTTGGGAACTTTCAGGGTCAGACATTTGGTGCTTTCCCTCGGCCTAACACAGGGACATCCCAGTCAGCTTTCTTTCACCCTCGGAATCGAAACCACCGGAATCAGGTTTCTGAGCAAGAGCTGGAAACTGAGCCTGAATCAGAGCCAGAACCACAACCACAAATAGATGTGCAGACACCAGCTCTAGTTTCTGGTACCCAGCCACAATTTAATCACCAGTCAGAAACTCCACTACAATTTAGTCCACAATTTAACTCACAACCACAGTTTATAGCACAGCAACAGCCTCAATTCAGTAACACACCTCATTATCCAGCAGTAAACGAACAGCAATACCAACCCAACAATCAATATAACCCATTCTCTATCAGTGGATTTAAACCTTGGCGTAGAACACACTTATCTCCCTCAGTTTTCAATGGCTATTTACCTCCAATTGGTCACTCTGCCATGCACAGACACTCTCACTCAGCTGCTGTAGAGTCTAACCAAGAGAGTAATGTACTTCCAGAAAGTGAAAGTCCAGCTGGGAATTCAGGGAGAAGCCCTTTCCTTCCTGGTATTTCCACAGTTGACTCTTCTCCTGGACTCTTCAGCGAGTCATAAGCTCAGGCTTTGAAAGTGAGATGCAGTTGTGACAAAGATACTAAATCATTTAGTTGCAAACTGAATAATTGCTTGAAAATATTTGTTTTGGTGATGGGACTCAATTTAAGTTTATTCTAGGTATATTGGTGCATAATGCTGATAAACCTGAACTGTGTTGGAGGGCATTAACCTATGAGAAAGTTGTTATCTATTTTCTCCATAAACAAGAGTTATTCATTTTCTCTTCACTTTTATAAATACCTTTGTCAATGTTTATAGAAGTTGAATTTAATGGTTATAACTGTTTTCTACAGTTAATTACTTTTTTTCTTAAAAGTGCATGGCATGAGAAAAGGCAGTGGTACTCTTGAACCTAATTCTTGCAAGTCCTAATCCACCCAAGAAGTGATGTATTCAGCATTTTAAGCCTCTTTTTTGTTACTATTGGTTACTGGAAATAACTAAATAATACACTGACACATTTACAATGCTTAGTCACAATACAGATATTGTGTCATTTTATACACATTCCTACACACATGCATATGCAAATGCACCTGCACATGCACACATGCACACACAAACATACAGTGACACACACACAAACATACACAACACACACATACACACATGCAACACACACACACACAACACACATATACACACAACACACACACACACACACACACACACACACCACACACACACACACACACACACACACACACACACCACACACACACACACACACACACACACACACCACACACACACACACACACACACACACACACACACACACACAACACCACCACACACACACACACACACACACACACACACACACACACACACACACACACACACACACACACACACACACACACACACACACACACACACACACACACACACACACACACACACACCACAACACACACACACACACACACACACACCACACCACACACACGCACATGTATGCAAAACACACACACATATGTAGTGTATGTATATACTTTATATAGGCTACATATATGCACTGGTAAGTAATCACTAAACTTTAAAATGAGATTAATTTGTGTATGGTTGATTAAGTTTGGTGTGTCTTGTCTCTATAATAGATAGTAGATGACTTTTCTTTGTGCTTGTTAGAAAAAATCTATTCTCTCCTTAGCAAGGATTTTGGAACTTTACTTCGTCATTGGCAAGATGAACTGCCTTCTGTTTCCTCCATCATTCCACAGTCAGGATCTTGACATTTCTAGCTTGTATAAGAGACAAAAAGTCTAGGGTATCCTTCCCTACTTACATGCACATGCACACAAACACGTATGTACCCTTATGATGTGACAATTTCACCTTGGTTAAGGGATCTGAGATAAGTTTAGTATTGGAAGTAGAGACTGGGCATTTTCGTTCATGTGATTAAAAGTTGAAAATGTAAATAAATTACTTTGTTTTTCTCATTATTTTTTTGTTTTTTGTTATGTTTTATTCAGTTTTGGAATGCTGCGTAGGTATAATTTTTGAGGTAAAGACTGAAGTATTCATTTAGGACTTTTAAGTAAAAGTATTTATGTTGTTAACTCCTGTTATTTTTGTTAGTTTTACACACATGCGATGTAATAAGTTTCAAATATAATGTATCTGTCTAGTATACTTTACATACCGATAATCAGTATTTATAATAAACAGGTGCAAATGATTATTTTATTTGGTTCCCTTTCATTAAGATTATTTTATCACTCTTGAGCACCTGTCCTTTTTTTCTTTAAACTGCCCAACAGTTCTAGACGTTCCTAGATCTCCCTTTCCATTTTTGAATATCTTCTTTTCTTGTCGCTATCATATTTCAGGAGACAGACATACAAATCAGACATTTGACACACAATAAAATTCATGAAGAAAACTTTTCCACATTCAGAAACCCACAGCATCATAGCTTAGCCTTTTCAATATGGGAAAACCCATTGGTTGAACTTGTCATAGGTGGTTTATGAGCTGAAGCCAGTATATCAGCTTAGTGAAGTCCCTGGTTCAGGAATACTTGTGATGAAAACTCCTATGTTCTGTTTTCTCTGCTTGAGGTGGTGGATCAGTTGTAAATCCTAAGATCATTTTTATGTGGAACCCATGTTGAAAGGGTTAATCAGCATAGATATAAAGCTAGATGTAAAGCTTTTTGTGCTTTTGCTATGGCAGGACAATCTCTTCATTAGAAAAGAAGGATACAATTAAACCTTATTCAGTTTAGCAGATCAATGAATGACAGAGAAAAGGAATAAATAGAACACTAGTGTATTAGTTACCGAAGTAAGAAAGAAAAATGATAAAATGATAACAAAAAGACTAGATGACACAACTAAACAAACAATACCATTAGACTATAAAGAAAAAACAAACAAACTTAGAGATGTTGACCTCTTGGTGATGCAATGAGGGTTTCTGTCACCGAGGAATGATGGAAGGTGATGGATGGTGTTCTCTGGAGGTAAGTCAATTTTTTGTTGCTTGTCTTTTCTTGGCAAGGCTTTGGGGGGAGGTTGTTCCCTTGGATTCTAAAGTCAGGTGTATGTGTGCGTGTTAAATATGTGTAGGCCTGTGATTTTGAGTTTATTTAGTGATTATTTATTTTCAGATTTGTATGAGTGTGAGAGGGGTGTTGTAGGGTGTGAAAAGTTACTGAGATATTTGTACTACATGTATTTGTTTATTAATATAGGAAAACATGACTACATGATACATTACACATTTTATACTGATGTTTGAGAGAGATTCTAATTTAGTTTCTTACATACTAAAATGAGATACATATGACCATTCCTAGAATTTTTTGATATTCAGTTTATAGCTACCTAGCAAATACACTTTTTCATGTAAGAATAAATATAAAAGTTTCACTAATATCTTTTCTTTTTTCTCATATATATCTTCTCTCCTGGCAGAGGTCTCTGAAGCCACTAGAGAGGAGAATGTGACTGGGTTAGCTGGCCATAACGGGGCTATCAAGTGAGTGTAACTGCCCTGTTCAGCTGTTATTTGTACTAGATGCTGAATAGGAACCTATTATGTTTTTGATAGAAATGTATATTATATTTGGGCTGTGTTATGTTAATTTTTACATTTATGTTTCCCATAGATCATAACTTAGACTTTGTAAGTTTATTTATACAGTATGCTTGTAAAGCTACTAACAGCCTTTGCCTCTTGAATGTTAATACTAGTGGTAGGTGAGAGGGTACAAGAATCCTCTCTCTGTTATAGGGTAATATGTCAATATTTTGTAAAAAAAATTCATTGACATTGAGTATGTTCTCAGAATTATAGGTTTCTATTTCTCTAATAGTTAGCTTCCTCTCTCACTGGGAGGAGAACCAGTGAGTGTTCCATGTAGTCTTGTATATCATGTTAGTGTATTTTAGTTGAATTTTACTAGTAAGAAAGGTGTAAAAACAATTCATTATTATTAATGTTATTGAAATTTTATTCTGTTTAACCCACTGATGCCAGATAGTATCTGTTCTTACCATAATGAACCAGATGCCAGATGTCAATTATCCATGCCACGCACAGTTGAGCCTGGTCTTAGTTGTATAAAGAACAGGGAAACATGTGTTTCCCAAGCATCTTATCTTTCACTCAAATAGCTGACTCTGTTCACAGCACCTGGCAATGGAAAAACTTGTCTTCAGGGGGTTCAGAAATAGTACACTTTGTGGCCTACTTCAATGGTCCATCTAGGCATATATATTTCTGCTATTCTTCTTGTCTCTGAAGGTCGCAAATATCCCTGTATTAATTCATTTCATACAATAGAGTTTGCAATGTATGAATCTGAGATTCTAGGTTAACACTGTTTTAGATTTCTCCCCTGTAGGCAGTGTAGGTTGGCAAGTTGCCGAAGCAGCACCATATACTTAATTTTTTATATGTATTTTCAGTTATTTACTCATTGACTGATGCATTCTGACTCAGATGTCAAGCATATTAAAAGGAAAGGTAATCATTATCTTTATCTTCACAGATTCCTTGAAGACCACAAGCTCTGGATCATCTTGGGTGTTGTTGGTGCACTCCTCTTGCTCACCATCATTCAGGCTTCAATCACCATCCACAAAATCAAGAAAAACAGAAGCCCACCTGTGAGTACCAAGGTGAGGTTAAGAGCAGGGCTTAGAGGGGCTTAAAAAGGACTTAAGGCTTTATTTTCTTCATTCAATAACTTCAGTTTAGGGAGATGTGCATGGTTGTAGAGATGAGGGTATTATATACTTCTTTGGGGATCGTAAAGCAGCATTGCATCAAGTGGTGTATATCATACATATGTAACAGCATGTGGTTATTGGATACAACTACTAAAAAACATGTTCATAGTTATAGTTGTGAATATCAGTTACTAACTCGCATGAAATATTAAGGATTAGTGCCAGAATATATACTGGTATACATATTTTATTCCAGGGTGTAGAGTCAATAGTGAGGTATTCTCTTACTTTAACCATTTCCTTTCTTTTTCTGATATCACTTGGCAATACTGTCCCTTGGTGTCCAATGGGGGTTTGGTACCTTGTAGGTTTGGCCTTCTCCCGAAGCTGGGGTCATTACACCAGTTGGAGCAGGAAATGGAGCCATGCCAGGTGGATCACCGACTGGAAGCCAAGTGGGGCTGGTGGCTGCTGTTGTAGAGCCTCCACCTGCATCCCCTTCATATCCGAAAAGCGGATTGCAGTCATCGGTCACAATCCCCAGCAGTTCTATGCCACCCAGCCCTGTCAAGACAGGGACTCCACTTAACACAGAAAATCCGGGTTATGTGCCTGATTAATTGTAATCCAGGTCACCATCTATTAATAACTGCACTTAATTATAGGTATGGTGGTGGATTGATATACTGCATGTACATGAGCTTATGTAAACCATCCCAGAGATGATATAGTTTTTTTGGTATTTGTTAATAAAAAGTCTGATAGATTGGCATGAGCCTTAGCAGGGCAAAAGAGATTTTTATTGTGCATCTTTTGGTTTCCTACCTTTTTGTTTTGGCTGAAAGGGAACCATGACCCACATCAGTATTTTTTTTTGTATGGTAATAGTACTTTGTGCTTGCTTGCTTACTTGCTTGCTTTTTTACCTTGGATTTATAGAAAAGGAACCATGTTTTGAATTTTTGAATTTGTATTGAATTTTTAAATTGTTATATCTCACAGGGACAAAAAGACTTTATTGATTCAAAAATCCAAATTCTTCTCTATAATTCCCTGCTTATTTGGATGCTCTTTCTAGGGAAAAGATTTAATTTGTGATTGGATAAAAATTGCATGAGGAGAATGTTCCAGTAGGGGAAAAAACATACTTGAGAATTATTTTGACTTTTTACATTGTGGCTAATTTTGCTCAGTTTATTCCCATGATTTACCAATTAGACATTCCCTCAAGGTGTTAGAATAAGACAGTTGGCATTGAGATATTAGAGTAAGAATTCTGACCCCTTCTTAAAAAAGACAAGATTGATGTGAGATTATGGTCAGAAATGTGGTGAAATAGTAATTACTTGTTTGGTATGCAGGATTTTGTGACTATGTATGCGTATACGTATGTGCATATATACAGTTAGTACATGTGTACATATGTGTAAATGATTGTACTTTTGCATACATGGATCTACATTTTAAAGTAGAGTATTCTGTGTGTATTCAAGAAAAGCACACTATAAATAGTGAAACATACAAACATAATGAGTATCCTAAGCTGCAAAATCTAATCTCAGACAATTTTTATCTGGCCAAGAAATTAGGGAATACTTCCTTAGTGATGGGCAGAGAGGAATGTTCAGTTAGCAATGTAGCTGTATAAGCAATTTAAATAAGATATTTGCATTTTACTGGAAGAATATTGGATTAAAAAGGAAATAGCTGAGTTAACATTTGACATTAAACCAAAAGTTTCTCATTTGTGATGCAGAGTTACCTTCAGCAAAAATATAAATGGAGAAGAACAGTAACACTAAAACTAAGCTAACCATCCAGATAAAAAAAAATCAAATGAGTTATATACTTCTGAATATATATATCCCCCCTCCCCCCAAATATAAAATTAGTTAACATTTATCAACTGTAATATTGGTTTTACATTTGTCATACCACTTTTTTTTCTGAATACAGTATTTATGTGCCTATTTTCCACTCTCACTGCTTAAACCACTACCATTTATGACAGTTGTGGGTTCTGTCATTACTATTTCTGGCCATCCTTATGCTGCATGACAAATGACAAAAAATGATTATTGCAAAAAGCAATATTTTTGGTTATTCAAGACAGAGGAATTTTGACGTGACTAAACTTCCTCAAGCAATTGCTGTATATTCTAGACTGAAGCATTTACTGTTTATCACAGATACTGTATTAATTAGATTTTATGTTGAGCCTTTACAGTATAGTTGTATGTTGTATAGCAGCCATTATCACATCAAAATGGAGTAGCAGTTAAACCATAGAATTGTGGTCTCAATTTAAAATTGCTTTTGGTGCATTCCACAGGAACGTCTCATCACCAACTCGGGATGGAAGGACTACAGTCAGGGCAACATGAACTACGCATATGACAGCTTTGAGACAGAGGAGAATGGTGTCAACTCTCGGCGTCAGGGAGCCAATGGATCCCTCCGTCCCAGTGCCCCACGGGGCACTTATGAACGCTCCAATGGCCACAGCAATGGCTATATGGGGGGCCACAACGGCCATCCCGGGCACCATCCGGGTGGCTATGGAGGGGACACACGCTCCCTTCAGCGCCCTAGAAATGCACCTCAGAGCAGGCCAGACCCTAGAGGCACTTATTCTCTCCCACGAGGATCAACTACATCATCGCTGCCCTCATACAACACCGCCATGCAGGACATGACCCCTGACTTCTATTACCTTCCCTCTCAGCGCAAGTATTCGGGTGAGGTTGTCCGTGTGTATGTAGATTACAACCAGTCCAAATAAGGCTATTAATGGTTGACCTCTTGATGGGTCATGTTGATTGCAATTTTCTTGGAAATGATTTGGTTCACATCAATTAGTGAAACTGGTTCTTAATTTGATTTTAATTCCTTTTTATGATTTTATTTGTATATTTAGGAGAAAATGTGTACTAGTACGAGTGGTTAACTTAAAAACAAAGTGGTTTGTGATGCTTAATGCCACATAGCATTACTTTGCATGTAGAACCTAGTTGGTGTTTTACATTGGAGATTTATAACTAACAGGATTTTATGAAAAGTGCACACAATATTTTGTAGAAAATTTTCAGCTCATCCTGTATTGCAGTAATAGGGCGAGAAAATGTTCAAGTATATTCTTGTTCTGTGCTGAATATTCCTTATACTACTAAGGTTTTATGTGTATACTCGGTGCAAAACAAAAGAGTGATTTATATTTCTTGACAACTCTTTGTTGTTATTTAAATGGCAAATGAATATTCTACTTTTCTCTCTCAAAAGAAGAGAAAATTTAAGAGGTAGTTTTCCAGCCATAGTAGTATGTTTATATTTGTAAATATGTATTAGGAATGTCAGCAGTTAGTGTTGATTGAATTGCATATTGTTTTTCATGATGGCAATATGAACAGACTTAAATATTTTATGGATAAATATTCTAGATTTTCTTTTTCATAGTCTTGCTGAAAAAAATAAATGATTTATTGATATATATGCTTTACATCTTTTGCATGTATGCTATGTATAAACACGTGCTATCTCTTTTTTTCTTTTTTTAATATTTTGGGAAACAAGGATATATATATAGCCTTGCCTATTATCATTTCACAACTGAAAGTAGTTGAAATTGCTCAAATTAGGGAGTTTGCAATATGTGGGACAAATTAATTTTTATTTTGCACAATAATGGCAGTTTTACAAACTAAATCTGTTAGACAAGAAATGTTGTCTCTTGGTGGTTATCTAAAGACAAGAATGTCTGCTGCTGTATAATGATCTACAATGAATGAAATAAACATCAAAGTCTTTACAACATAATGGAAGAGAGATCATGCACTTTTTTCTTTCTAAAAGTGATTTATTTCTATAAAGCAGTGGTAAGGAAACCATCACAGTTCTTTTCTTGTATGTGCCATTTTTGTGATATACATTACAACATAATCACTTACCATAATGGTTTGAATTTCAAGTTTTTGTAAACTACAAAGTGTATATAGGCTCAGTGATATGAATCGAATAGAACTTTAGTATGTTCACTGTATATATATTTTATAACAGTAAGGTGAACTTGTAGCTGAGAAGAATAGAAATGGAAAATAAGGAAAGACTTGTGTTGCATATCTTTTAAAGGTCTCAATTATTTTTTGAAAGTTTAGATAGTTCAAATTAAAAAATATAAAAAAAAGTTCACCTTGCAGTTACTCCAACGAGGGCCAATCTTTCAAAATATACCCATTATTTCGTATTTATTACATGATTTTTAGCAAATGTTAACAGCCTAGAAGTGGACCAGTGTGTGAGTAGACGTAAGTGTGTGAAGGTTGTGATATCTGTTTTAAGCAGCTGTTGTTGATGTCATGTACAGGCATCAACTACATTTATTTTTTATTTTGTTATATTGTATGTTTGTAGGTCAGATATGTCCTTTTTTTGCTGTCTTTGGTGACGTAATGATTTATTTGTGATAGTTCATTTATTTTGTAGTGATTGTCAGCATTGGTTCTTTATTTATTTATTTTTATTTATTTTTTTTTTTCTTTCTTTCTTTCTTTTTTTTACTTTGCTGTTCATTTTTTTTGTTAAATGCAGATATTTTTGTAAGAGTACTTTTAGGGAGTTTTGTAATGTGTGATGCAGATGTACACCTATATTGTGAATGCAATATTTACAAATATATATATTTGTATGAAAATAACTTCAGTATATGCATATATATATATACATACAATTCTCTGGATGGATGGATGGATGAAAGGATGGAAAGATGGATATGCAGATAAAACACAAATTTTTGTACTCTATGTTTGTCTGTAATATAGTTTCTTTTGCCACAACTAAAATGATCCAGGTGATAATGAAGGCCAGTTGTGCAATGTTATTCAAGGTTAATTTAAGTGTTTGCTGACTGATGTCCGTGGAAAGACTCGTCTGAACACCTGAAAGGAATGTAGCAGATATTTTGGAGCAGGACGGTTGAGTGTATAAGAACCACAATATTGAATAGGCCTCTTTCTGAGATCTTGGTTTATGATCTCTTTTAAATGACTACTGATTTTTTTTGTAATCATTTCTATATTTAGAATCTTCATTTACCTCAGGTTATTTTGACAGTAATCTGTGTTTATATATATATATATATATATATATATATATATATATATATATATATATATATATATTATATATAATATTGTATGTATGAATAATTGTGCGTATGTATGTATGTTTGAGTATTCATGCTATATTTTCACCATGATTGCATTATATTGTATGTAATGTGTCAATAAATGTAAGATTAGTAAACTGTGTTTATGCCTCTCTCAGTACCTTTTTAATGCTTACTTCCACTATGAAATATATAACAGATCCTTCACATTCATTAGGAACTTATTAAGTAAATTTACTATGTAATTATTTATATATTTTCTATAAGAATTAGTGTTAAAGAAAAAAAACATATGTGTGGCTCACTGTGCTGAATATAACCTAATGACAGAAGGCAAGTATGGATCATCTTGTTTCCTTTTTTTTCTGAATAAGAAAAGAATTTAGCTCGAGGAATGGAATGAACCTTAGTGCCCAAAAGACAAATTCATGCATGATTAGATGAGGATTTAGTAATGCAGAAAAAGGTGTACCAATATTTCCAGAGAATGTCAAAAAATAATTCATAATATAGTCCCTGTAAGTTCAAGAAATGGAATTAATTTTGTGGGTTGAATTGTATATAGAGTAGACAGAAGTGATTGTTTAGTGCACTGACGTAGCACTACATCTGTTTACCATATGATGGTATGTCCTTTTAGAGGTTAAAGTAAAAGAAAGGCAAATGTTACAAATGGAAAGATGGAGGACCGGATAATTTTTTTAATAAAGGAACTGTGAAAATGTGTATCATGTATATCAAGGAATATAACCTGTCACAGATTCCATTTGACCACCAACCTTTGTAGGCCCCAGAGATACTTGTTTAATGAACTAAAGATACTGTTATATTATATCTTTATTATTTAAACATTTTAATTTTGCCCTATTTATTCTGAAGTACATTTCAATATTTATAAGTGCAATAAACTAAGATTTATTTTTCAAAGTAGAAGAACTTAATAAAGTCATTTTTTTGGTGAGCTTTTAACTGCCCGTAGATATGATGCACAAGGAGTTTTATACAATTTTATAGTACTACACTGATATTTCACTTAATCCCAACCATTCTGTGGGTTATGGTGATTGAGTACTGATCTAGTGTTTGGGAATTCAACCTCCTCTCATGCCGTGAGTGACTGGGACCCCAAATAATCTCTAGGTGATAACCCAGAGAATCTGCAGGCTACTCATTTCCTGCGGTCTGTCTTCATTATTATTATTATTATTATAGTTCTGATGCAATATCTGCAGTGCATTGTAAATTGTTTATCGCTGTTCCATTTCCATTTCTTCTGAAACATTCAATATCTACTCTATCAGATTTAATATTACTATAAATGTTTCTACAGTAGCATAATCAAAGAGATCAGTCAAATTCTTGCCATAAACCAAATGACTACTTGCACAAGATCATTTAAAAGATTGAACAGCTGGTGCCACTTTTAGAGCCTGTCAGAACTCTAAAGCTGTTGCCACGGGATTTTAGTCTACTTGAACTAAATGAGTTTAAATAATGTTAACAAGCATCCAACATTTGTTTAAATAGTAAGCCTGCAAGTCAAGTCCTGATGTTCCATATGATATAACATCCTTTTGAATTAGCTTCCTTTGTGCTTGAGCCTCAATAGTCACTTCATTAAACATCCATATTACATGTTTGGATGTATACTTGACACCAAAGCAAACCACCTGGTTATCATATTAGTGAACCAAATACAGTAATCAGTAGTGCTTTTTCAGTGTCCTTCACATATTAACTTATAGTGTCCAGAATATACTGAATGGCTGAATAAATGTAAATTAGTATATACTGTGTGTGTGTGTGTGTGTGTGTGTTTGAGTATGTGTATGTTTATGCATGTGTGTGTGTGCGCATAAATGATAAATTAATAAGTGAGCGACTAAATGAGAGAGAAAGAGAGAGTGGGGCGGGAGAGAAAAGAAGTGTATATAAAGAGATTATATTAATAATACAGACATTAGTAGTAATTATGAAAATGATGATGATGATGATGATAATAAATGAAGTGATATAGTGATAATAATAGTAACAGGAATATTAATAATAGGTGAACAATGTAACTGTGATATTGCAGATGATAATGATAAAGTAATAAATAACTCATAAAACAAAAGAAGTTACCCCGCAGCGAAATAAATGGTAGTTTACTTATGATATAAATATGATAATAATAATAATAATAATAATCATAAGAACAAACAAAAATTACCGGCGGGCGCTGCGCGTGAGCACCTCACGCTTGGCTTCGCGGGATTCGATCTCGCGGGCGCCGTCTCCGGGCCAGAGGCGGTACACTGAGCCACGGAGGTTGGTTGCAAATAGCAATAAATACGTAGCCTTTTCAATCGCTAATTATATCGACATGGTTAGATCTATCAATAAAACTATTCTAAAAGCCATCATATGTTCTCTGTGTGTGTGTGTGTGTGTGTGGTGTGTGGTGTGTGTGTGTGGTGTGGTGTGTGTGTGTGTGTGTGTGTGTGTGTGTGTGTGTGTGTGTGTGGTGTGTGTGTGTGTGTGTGTGTGTGTGTGTGTGTGGTGTGTGTGTGGTGTTGTGTGTGTGCGTGCGGCATATGAGATGAATTAATGAAGTGAAATGAGAGAGAAAGAGAGAGTGGAAAGAAAGAAGTAAAGAGATAGAGAAGAGACGAGAAGAGAGAGAGGAGAGAAGAAAGAGAGAGAGATGAGAGAGGGAGAGAGATGAATGAGAACGGAGGAGAGAGCGAGGAGAAAGAGAAAGAGAGAAAGAAGTGAGAAGGCATGGTGGTGAAAAAAAGACAGACAGACAGGCGGGTAGACATCTAGACAGACAAATAGAGAGATACAGAAAAAGAGAAAAATCGAGATAGAGAGAGAAAGGAGAAAGATTAAGAGAGAGAACAGGGGAAAGGGTAGCGTAACCAAATAAAACACATCTGGCCGGATTCCGTTGTAGCCTTATCTTATTACTGCACCGGAGTCTGTCCGTCCGGTGGAAACTCCGGTGCAGTTGCCAGATGCAGCGTTTTAATTCAATATGTACTGTTGAAAGGTTACTGAAATATTCTGTTTTCTCTCATGATATTTTGTGTATCGAATTGTATAATATTCATTCTGATTTTTGCAATGTTCCAAGCTTACCAGTTCGGCTTTTGGGGTAGGGAATAATCTCATTAAGCTAATTATCTGAATCGTGTTAAACTTTACGTCATACTCTTTAATTTTGTTTTATCTATTATCTGTACCTATTGCCTTACATCCTTTGTTGGTTTTCTTCGGTGCAGTGTTCTCTCGGCGTGTGTTAGGAGTGGCTGTGATGCTGCGTCATATGCGCATCTACGCTCCTTTTAAAGTCCCTTTTCGGCGCTGTCAAATCGCCCTTAGCGTCCTGAATGTTGTTAAACTATGACTATTTTTGAGATGAGTTCCAACAGTTCATGCTGTGTGAGGGAGGTTTAAGGCCACAGTTGCACGATGCCCCGTCCGAGATGACGAGGCGAGACGATTCGTATCTGACAAAGACTCTGCTGCTCGTCCTGGCCGCCCTTGTGTCGTCTTCCTCTACAGGAAACGACGTTACTCCCCACACCTCGCTCGCTCTCCTTCTGCGAAAGGAATCTCCTGCAGTGTTTCCAATCCTACAGTGGGAGAAGATTTGAGTACGACCTATGAGGCGCACCTGACGACGACAGAAACGAGCACGCTGGCACCTGAGCGTTCCTCGCCTCAAAGCGCGCCTCGAAACGCCACCTCGGGAGTTCCTGGAGTCCGGTTCTGTGGCGTCCCCGATGATCCCGATATTTTCAATAGGACGCGGGGTCAGCGAGTTAAACGGTACAACGCGCAGGGGAGAAAATGGAACAAAAAGACCCTCACTTGGACGCTCCGGAGGTCCAGCAGCCGGGCTGATCTTCCTGAAGGGGTCATCAGACAGCAGCTGACGGCGGCCATGCACGTCTGGGAGCGCGAGTCGACCCTCATCTTTCAGGAGGTCCACAAAGACACCAAAGACGTGGATATCATCGTCAGCTTCGAAACAGGAGACCACGGCGACGGCTACAAGTTCGACGGTCAGGGCGGCACCCTCGCGCACGCCTTTTATCCTGGGGGAGGCATAGGGGGCGACATGCACTTCGACGACACTGAAAAATTCGTGACGCATCTCGAGGCCAAAAAGTACGTGTCCAACAGCCTGCTCGTGACGGCGGCGCATGAGCTCGGCCACTCGCTGGGGCTGCTCCACTCCGACGTCTCCACTGCCCTCATGGCGCCCTTTTATCAGGAGTTCCCTCCGGATTTCCGCCTCCCGACGACGACAGGTACGGCATCCAAGCCCTCTACGGGACCCAGATCCTCTTACCGTCTACTACTGAGCAGCCCTTCGAGCCATCTACAGGCGCCGTACATACCACCACGCGCGGTTTCTACGCGACCGCCGTATAACTCCACGCCCTCCTACGCAACCACCGTATGAACCACCCACACACGCCCTCCTACGCAACCACCGTATGAACCACCACACCACACGGCCGCCGTACAAGCCTCCCACACGCCCTCCCCAAAGCCTACCGCCTCCAACAAGGGCCCGTGCCCTACGACCCGCCAACGCCCCACACCCCGGAGCCCCCATCTCAGCCCTGTCCGATCGAGCCCCCCGAGCCCGGAGTGCCTGACACGTGCTCCACGGAATACGACACCGCAACCGTGTACCGCGGCGACCTCTATTTCTTCAAAGACAAGTACTACTGGCGCGTGGACCGAAGGGGAATGCCGTCCATGAGAGAGTTTCCTTATAAGATCAAGTCTCGCTTCTACGGACTGCCTCGTGGCGTCGACCGCATCGACGGCGTTTACGAGGACCGCCAAGACCACCTGGTTTTCTTCAGCGGTCCCAATTACTTCGTGCTTGACCATTTCTTCCGCCTGAGGAGGAAGGGCGTTATATCGGACCTCCGGGTGAACGCCACGCACATCGACGCAGTGATGGTCTGGGGGCACAACGGCCGCACTTACCTCTTCAGCGGCAACAATTACTGGCGACTCGACCGCCAGGGAATGGCCGAGATGGACTACCCGCGCGACGTGAACGTGTGGCGAGGCCTCCCTCACAACATGTCCGCGGCCTTCACTTTTCACTCAGTCACCTACTTCCTTGCAGGCCGCGTCTACTGGCAGTTCAACAACACAGCCATGAGGGCCGTTAGATCCCCTTACCTGACGGCCTCACACTGGCTCAGCTGCCCCTTCCACGACCTGTCGCAGGCCACCCGCTGCTCCAGCCGCTCGCCGGCCTCCCTCGCGCCGACTCCAGCTGTCACCGCCACCCTCGCTCTCCTGGCCGCTGCTCTCTGCGTCGGCCCCGAGTAGATCACCTGTTATTTATACTCTGAAAAATAAATCATACAGTCGATATCTCGTGATTTCATATATCCGCCATTTACGAAAAGGTGATAGAAATGATGCGCAGCACAATGATAGAAGTGGAAAATGGTACTGACAATAATCAAGACAAATATACGGTAATGGTAATGCAGTAACGTAGATCTGCAATAACTGGATAGGAAATGACAAATATAACAATGTTCATACTAATAACGATAGCAATATAAACAAAAACTAGGAAAGATTATAAAATTGATGATGATAAAGACAGTGATAATGTAAATAGTAATCTAATGATTATAAGAATATTGACCATGGCATAATTGATGATGATAGTAATGATAATGATATGATAATGGCAATAATATTGATAATGATAATGTTATTGACAATAAAAATGATAATAATATTAATGATAAAAGCAATAATAAAAATAATGATGATAATACTAATGATAGTAATGATAAAAGCAATAATAAAAATATCATGATAATGAAATTAGTAATGATAATAAGTTTCATAATGATGGAAATGATTATGATAGTGATGACAATAATAGCAATTATGGTAATTTTGATCCTAATAACAGTAATAATGATGGCAGCAATAAAAACAATAATATTCATAATAATAATGATGATGATAGTAATAATGATAATTATGATAATGACGGTAATATTAATAGCAGTAGTAGTAATAACAACAACGATAATAAGGATAATAATAGCAATAATAATGATAATGATACTGGTGATAATGTTAATGCTAATAATATTAACAACCATGGTGTTGATAATAATTATAATGATGATAATGAAATAACAAAAAGCTGAAAATAATGATAATAATACTAATAACAACAATAATAAAAGTGACAATTATAATGACAATAATAGTAACAATAATAATGATAAGTGTAATAGTAATGATGACAATGGTAATAATAACAATAATAATAAAAATAATAATGATGATGATAATGATTATAATAATAACAATGATAATAAAAATAATGATAATAATAATAATGATAATATTGATAATGCTGACAATTATAATTATAATGATAATAATAATGATATTGATAATGATGATAATAATGATAATGATGATAATAAGGATAATGATGATAATGATAGTAATGATAAGGATAATAATAACAATAATAATGATAATAACAATGATAACATTAATAATAATAGTCATGATAACAATGACAACAAAAAGAAAAAAAAGAAAGAAAAGATGGGTACTCCTCTCTCTCTCTCTCCCTTTTTTTCCCCTCTTTTGTATAGTGCAACGGTAGCGTTCTCGTCTTACATTTTCGCTGACCCGCGTTCGATCCCGCGCGCTGCCAGTGGATGGGAACCCCGGCCATTCATTGCACACAGGGATTAATATATAAGCAAATTAAACATACATGTCGCTGAAATGAATATCTATTGTGACAAATGGATTCAGAAGTAAATTATTATTATTATTAATATTTTGATTATTGTCATTCCTTTCGCCTCCTCCTCTTCCTTTTCCTTTCCTTCTCCTTCTACCTCTCTCTTCCCCGCCCTGCCACTCCCTCTCACTCCCAAATCTTCCTTAAATGCACTCCTCTTCTTCCTCCTCAAACTCCTTCACCTTCTTCACGCCTTTGTTCCCTTCCCTCCCTCTCTCATCCCCTTTTCCTCTGAGCCTCCTCTCCTTCCCCTCTTTCTTTCCCCTTCTCCATCCCTTTTCCCTCTCTAAGGCCCTTCCATTTCCGCTGTTTCTCCTTCCCCGTCTTCCCTTCCTCTTTTTGCTCGCTTAGCTTCCTTGTCTTTCACTCTTCCTTTTCTCATAATGACAGTGATAATGATAAGAACAATAGTAGTACGAATCATGATAATAACAGTAATAATGTTAACAATAGTAATAATGATACTAAGAGTAAAGATAATAATACAGGAAAATGCATTAATAATAACCATAATAATGATAATAGTAACAATAATAATAATGATGATAATAAGAGTAATGAAAATAAGAGTCATGATGATAATGATAACAATAAGATGATAATAATGATAATGGCAATATCATTAAGAAATATAATAATACCAATGATAAAGAAAATAACAACGGCAATAATAATGATAGTAATAATGATACTAACGATACTCATGATAATGATGGTAATAATGATGATGATGATAACAGTAATCATAACGATAATATTAATAGTAACAATATCAATTATATTCATAATAATGATAATATACTAGCGAAAATTGCAACATAATTGGTCACAGTCCAAGGTAACACGAAGATACACATATGGGAATAAAGCTTATGATTAGAAGATCAAGTGGTGATCAAAAGTAAATAATGATAAGATTGTTACGAGCCTTATGATAGGAATATAGATATAATCTGGTACAAAATCTGGTATAAAAATTGCAAAAAAAAAAAAACAGATGATACAGCAAATTCTCTCTATCTATCCTCTCTCTTCCCTCCTCTCTCTTCCTCTACCCCTCTCTCTCTCTTTCTCTCTTTCCCCCCCCCCCCCTCTCTCTCTCTCTCTCTCTCTCTCTCTCTCTCTCTCTCTCTCTCTCTCTCTCTCTCTCTCTCTCTCTCTCTCTCTCTCTCTCTCTCTCTCTCTCTCCTCTCTCTCCCTCCCTCTGGGTCTTGCTTTCCCTATCCAATTTATTTCAAAATATCAAATTATTGCTTCCTCATTTCTTTCTCTCTGACGTTTACCAACCTCCTATTCTCTATCCCTAGAAAAAAAGTAATTACAATATTACCATTACCCATTATAAAAATTGGATTGTGACCATTAACGCAGGGTTGTTGGCGCGCACTGGTAGTTTCCCCTGTTTAGCTCGTTCGTTTTTTTGCGGACAACATTAGGCACTTAAAATCCTATATGTTGATAGCATGAAAAAATCCCATATGTTGATAGCATGAAAAAATCCTATGTTGACATCATAAAAAAATATTGGTTTCCCCTCACTCCATGTGCTATTGCCTAGAAGTTTTACCAAACGAATGATGCCGCTACTATTGGAGAGAAACAAGCTGCGCCCGATGAACCGTTGCCGAGGGAATTTTCGGAAGGCGGTGCCACCCGATCCTTGTCCACAACAGCCGTGGTCAAGAGTGGATGCCAGACGGGGTGGAAGCGGAAGGAGTTCATGACTGAAAAGGCAAACTTAGCTTTAGAAAACTGTATGTGTATATGTGATATATATATATATATATATATATATATATATATATATATATATATATACGTATAATGTATGATATATATGTGTATATGTGTTTGTGTGTGTGTGTGTGTGTGTGTGTGTGTGTGTGTGTGTGTGTGTGTGTGTGTGTGTGTGTGTGTGTGTGTGTGTGTGTGTGTGTGTGTGTGTGTGTGTGTGTGTGTGTGTGTGTGTGTGTGTGTGTGTGTGTGTGTGTGTGTGTGTGTGTGTGTGTGTGTGTGTGTGTGTGTGTGTGTGTGTGTGTGTGTGTGTGTGTGTGTGTGTGTGTGTGTGTGTGTGTGTGTGTGTGTGTGTGTGTGTGTGTGTGTGTGTACATAAATATAAGAGAGTTTCTGGCTTTTAACAATAGCGAATGATTAAGAAAAAGGCATATGGCAATATACAAGAATAACGCAAGATAACGAAATATGAGAAGGCAGTTTAAGTTCAAGTGTAAATTAATCACCAAAAAAAAAAAATGTATACAAAGAAAAAATTATATTAAAAAGAACACTCTTTCCCCCCAAGAAAAAAGAAAAAAAGACAATGATATGAAAATATGAAAAAAACAAACTTATCTATCCTCTGTCTCAGGTACAGCTTAATCACTATAACCTCTGACACGCTTAGCAGTATCCTCTTCAAAACCATAAAAACGTAAGCAAAAGATGGTAGAAAATAAATGTCATCTCTCCATTATAATGATTGAAAAAATTAAATTCCGTCGCATGAGAAGAGATGGAGAAATGGGAGGAAGGATTTAAAAAAAAACGGCAATGCATTATAAGGATAGGATACGAATTGACTTTGCTACATGTGGTTATGGAAAAAAATAAAATTAGCTCTTGAAGAAAAAAGCATATGCATTGGTGGTTTTTGGCACGTTTTCTTTGGATGTGCTAGGTAGATGTCAACTCCCGCCACCGGATGTAATTATTATTCTGGTCTTTATGTATGTTAAATGAGTATTGCTCGTAATGACGGTACTTTAAAGGTTGTGGAATATAATCAATGGCTATTCTAAGGTGCTGATGATGTTATTCAAGTACAATGCAGTGACATTGAATGATATTTCGTTTTGTCTCCAGGTTTTCAACTGCCCAAACTGTAATTATTTCTTTCCTATTATTTGCGTTAGGGAGATTTGCATATAACTATGGTATATCTGAGGTTGTGGCACAAATTCAATAGCCACTGCAATGTGTTTGAGATCCAATTAATGTGCAATGCGGTTACTTTGAGTCAAATTTCGTTTTGTGCCTTTCTGCTCATGCCCTGAAAAAGCATCAGAGAGTCTGCGCGAGGAGTGTAAATACCTTATTGTTCCGGCTACTGGCAGCTACGAGAAATACACGAATTTCGACCTTCCCACGGACTTGTGAGTTTCACCCATACTATTAAACTATGTAAGATAGTGTTGTGAACATTGGGCCGTCTTTTAAAATGAGGACTGGCCCGAAACAAACCCCCATCGACCCGAAATTTGGAACACCAACAACGCGAAGGGATTGGAGAGTCAACAGCGTGTCTCCTGCGCATTTGATCGACCATTTCGTGCACCGAAGGAAGACTTCAACGCCGAACTGACATCACTTGGATTTTTATCAAGGTAAGACCTATAAGAACAGCAGTTTTTTATGTGTATTAACCTCCTAATTATTTTATAATTATTATTGTTTTGTTATTATGATTATGATAATTGATATTGTGATAATTATTGTTGTTGTTCATGTTCCTATTATCATAATAATGATAATGATA